GCGGGAAAGAGAGGGAGGAGGCCTAGAAGCGTGAATGAGTAGGAAGTGAAGAGCCGGGAGAGGGCGGGTCCAGCACTTCGCCCAATTGAAGAGCGAATAAGAAGGCCAACCCCCTCCCGCCAAGGTGGACCGGAAGTCAGGATTACGGAGAGCAAGAAGGGGGTGCTTAGTTGAGCTGCGCATTTGCACATTCTAGCGCCTTCTAGAATGGGTGGTTCACAGTGGGGCGGAGCTCAGAGTGTGACACGAAGGGAAAGGGCGGGCCCTTTTCAGAAGCCGAGCTGGGCTTCTAAGCTCGCCTTGCTTCTTAATTTATAACAGCGATTTTCTACTTTTCTCATCCCGTGGCGCACATAAATTACTAAAATTCTGAAGCACATCCAAAAATATATTTTTTGACAGTCTGACAAACGAGGGATAAGTTTGATTGATTCACTCCCGGCAGCTCTTGATGTGTTGGCTGTTTCCATTTTTTAATTTGACAATCTAAGGGAAAGAGGTCAGTGCCCAGGAGTAAGTAGCCAGGTTAGAAATTCTTGGGCGCCAGCTGTGAGCCGCTTGTCTATACAGTAACTTTCCCTTGTCCTAAAACGTAGAAACTTGCTCGGAGAGCGTGCATGTCGCGGGCTTTGTTCCTGTCCTCCGAGTATACGCTGGGGCCAGGATGGGACTGCCTCTCCTCCACAGCCCCGCAAAATGACAGCTGTTTCTAAAAACTGTACGTCTTGCTCTGCCCCTTTCCCTCAGTGCCCGGCGGGTGTGTGTCGCTTCATGGCCTTACCTCTGCCACCAGAGGACCCAAATAAGGTAGTGTGAAATTACGGATTCCTTAGGTGGGACTCGGCAAGAAGCGGCAAAAAGTCATCTCAACTAACAGGTCGTTCCCACCCCTAAAGGCGTCACTGTGAAGTGGTTGGTCGGCTCCGACGGCTGTGTGCACCTCGCGTAACATGATTGGAGGAGCGGGGATAACAGGTTGTCCTCTCAGCCACTCACTTGCTGGGAGGTCAGTTCCGGGTGGAGGAGCGAATGACCGACGTGCCCCTTTGGCTTTTCCCTGAGTTAATATGGCTGCGGCCGGCGAGCCACGGGGTCGCGAGTGAGGAAAAGAGGGGAAGCTTTCCCTAGGCTTTGGCCACGATCCCGTCAGCGATGGCGCTTCGGTCACGGTACTGGGAGTTGTTGTCGGTTTGCAGGAACCCCGGTAATTGATTTGCCCAATTCTCTGAGATTACTCCCGGGAGTGTGCACAGCAAAGTGCACGTGCAAGTCGTTATTTTATATCCAACACGCCCCGTCGAAGGGTGAAGGAGCTAACAGCACTGTGATGACAGCCATAGAAAATTAAGGGCCGGGGTCTGAGATGACTGCACCCTGTGACCACCACGCATACCTTTTGTGCCCCTTCTATGGCGCGAAGATGGGGAGGGGGAAGTGGATGAGAATTATTCCTGTTTTGTCCGTATTCGTTATATTTGAAGACCCATCTGGTTGTTTCCATTCTTAGGGCGTGGGGTCTCAGCGCTCTCAACCAGCTCCAAGCCAGAGGTGAAGCCTGAAGTGGACCCTCTGGGCAATGAAGCTGTTGCCCCGGAGTTCACCAACCGGAATCCCCGGAATCTGGAGCTCTTAGCCGTGGCCAGGAAGGAGCGGGGTTGGGGGACAGTGTGGCCCTCCCGCGAGTTCTGGCACAGGTAATTAACTCTGCTCGTTACTGACCGACAAAGCAATGCGCGGTGCCCTACACGCTGTTTTAGTCAATGCATTCAACGTGCCAGATACGGACTGCCGGGGACTCTCCTCTAAGGAAGCTGAGCTGCGGGGGGTGCACGAGGGGCTCGGGAGTGAGAGGGGCCGAAACATACAACAAGCAGGTGTCAGCGAGAAAATTTGAAGAGGGTGATGGTGGAATGGGGACTGGGTGCCTACGAAAGCCCCTCTGATGGCAGGAAAAAACCAGTCGTCTGCCAAGAAAAGCATTGCCAGCAGTGGGCCCCGTAGGGCGGGTGCGAGCTCGGTATGAGAGAGGCTCTCTGGACAAAGGAGAGGATGGTGTAAGGTGAAAATGGACAGGCAGGTAAGACACAGTGGTTAACTTTGTAAATCGAAGGAAGCACTTGAGACTTTATTTTCCCTGCAGTGAGAAGCTATGCGAGGATTTCGCGTTGCAGCCTGAATTAAAAGTCACTCTGTTGATGGGAGAGACCTGGTTCTTGTTGCTGACGCATGTAAAGAATTACACCTCAGCAAATCTGTTAACGTACAGAGTTTATTAGTGATCCGTTCCCATGGAAGAGAACGGGCCTAGCTGGGATGGGGTGGGGGGGGAGGTGGAAGGCAGAGGTTCAGGGCAAAGCAGGGCGGCAACAGCTGAAGGCAGGGGGGCGGGTGGGGGGGCAAGCCCCTGGGAGGCCTGAGGTTGGGCAGTCAGAGTGCCAAGAGCGCCCAGCGCGCCAGGCCTTTGTTCTGAGGACATGTAGTTGGTGGGATGGCAGTAAAAATGTTGCATAATGACTAACGGGTACGTGTGGTGCCAGCTTACCTGGGGGATGTGACCACTCAAACTTAGGTGGGGGGCAGGGGGCATCTGTTAGCCTGAATCCTCATCTTGCTCCAGACTCCATTTGTTCATCTTGCTGTAAAACAGATACATGACAGGAGCCTGTTAATTAAAGTTGGGGCAGTTACCCCAAGTCATTTATGGGCTGCTTCTTAGGGCGCTGTAGACCCTCTCCCATGTTCCAGGCCTTGGGATGAAAGCACAGTTCCAAAGCTTTCTTCCCCAGATGGTGGAAATGCTACATACAATTTCAGGGACTTCCCTCCTCCCTTGCTAACGTAGTGCTTCCTGTGGTGTTGGAACACCTGGCAATACTATCCGACCAGGCTCAGGCCTACTCAGTTAGTCGGCGAGACTTGTCTCCCTTCTCCCTGCCGAGGTTTACTATCCATTCCACCTGTGATAAAAGGCGTTTCCTGGCAACCAGGATGCTAGACGCTGGCCAACAGCAGTGCAGCCTCAGAGTCCTATGCTGTCTCCTGCCTCAATTCTCGTTACTTCAGGGAGAACGCATTTTTAAGGGGCAAGGGTAGAAACGAGAGGACCAGTCAGGAGTCTGTTATAAAGAGGTTATTTATTGAACACTTTCTTTTTGCGAGGAGTTATTCCAGTGGATTTATATGTATTTAAGTCTTTGAGCCATGTTATATTTATTTTGGTGTTAGCTGGAAAATAAAAGCATAAAATAAATTTATCTTTACCCAGTATAGAGTCAGCAACTTAGCTTTACCTCCTCAAATCCTTTTTTGAAATAGATGCTGTGTAGATACATCTCAGCTCCCAGAAATACCAAATTTCTCTTTGATATTTGAGGTTAAGCGGAAGTGTTAGGTTTATTATTGAGGATATCCTCATGAAGGCAGAGGAAAAATACCTTTCCCAAGTAAAACTGAGGTTAAGTATGGTCAAGTAAATGAACAAAATATTTAGGCATGTATTCACCTGGGTCACTTATCTTTAGGATTCTCTTACGATCTTACTCTCCTCATCTAGGCTGCGAGTTATAAGGACTCAGCATCACGTAGAAGCACTTGTTGAGCATCCCAACGGCCAGGTTGTGGTTTCTGCATCCACACGTGAATGGGCTATTAAAAAGCACCTTTACAGCACCAAGAACGTGGTGGCCTGTGAGAGCGTAGGACGTGTGCTGGCAGAACGGTGCTTAGAGGCGGGGATCAATTTCATGGTCTACCAGCCGACTCCGTGGGAGGCAGCCTCAGACTCGGTATCTTTGTTTTCATGTACTTATTTAAAAGGTATTGTGTTAATTCTTGACATTAGATACTTGCATAATAATAATAGTTCCATATTTCAAGTTCTTTTCATGCGTCGGACTCGCGGGTGAGTACCCTGGCCTGCATTACCCGATATCATCCCCCAGGAGCCCGAGGGTGAGGACTAGTGTTCCTGGTCCGTACGTGAGGGACTTGAGGCTGATGTGCCCAGAGTAGTTGTGGGGCAGGTTTCAGACCCGCGGGGACTGATTATAGCCACGATGTTGACCACACTGTTTCCCTGTTCATATAGTAACACCCTGTCTGTATAATTTCAAAACGCTGCTTGACATCCTTGACATTTATACATTCTCTTTTTTCTTATCTGTGTGATCATTAAGATCACTTTCTGAAACATCAGTGTAGGTGAGAAGTTAGCAAAGAGCAAACCAGTTGTTTACTTCTCTCTCTTAGGAAGTGGACTGTTTATTGTCTGCTTACTAGTGGTAAGCTGATTTATTTCATCTTTTCCTTTTTTTCCTGCTCTTTAAAACCAGATGAAGCGACTTCAGAGTGCTATGACGGAAGGTGGCATCATGCTGCAGGAGCCCCGGAGAAGTTATGAGTGAAGGGGAGGCCCTGTTTGGAATGTGTAAATATCAAGCGGGGAGCTGTTCCATCCTTCAGAAGAGCATCTGGAAGAACAGCCAACTGGACAGTTTTATGCAAGAATGTAACTGCAGAAAGATGTTCACAGTTAAGATCAGCCCCCCATTCCCTTGTGTGTGTGGGGCTAACATCTTAGAGAAGTGTCTGAGAAAAGCTGTCACCTGTTGTAATTAACTTTTGAAGGACAAATTAAATGTTTGTAAATTAAAGAATAAAGGCATATTCTGAACTTTCAGTTTCTGGGTATGTTAAATCTCTTCACCTTTTCAGCGCACTCGGGCAGGAACGCACGGAAGAGGTTTGTGCAGCGCGCTTGAGGTGTGTCTGGCCCATAGTGGGCCACCTAAATGGTAGCCGTGGCTGCTCAGGGCATGGACGTGTCTTTTAAAGTACGAACTATCAATATCAATTTATTATAAACAGTCTTAGTAATGTGAAGATGAAAGGGACAAGTTCTAACCTCAGTTGGGCTCCTGGATCCTAACAGGCAGCACCAGATTTGAAAGGATAAAGGAATGCAATGAGGAACTGAATATGGAGGTGCGCGTGGACTGGGCCAGTGTACTCTGGATTTGCCATGCAGTGAGAATTGGTTGGATAAGAGGTGAACTTCGAAGGGCACTCAACGGTAACCAGAAATTGGAGAAGGGTAGGTGGGACTCATGACAGTTCTCTTAAAGGTGACGATGAAATCAAAATAAGGCATGAACCAGTTATGGCTGCTTAAAATGTGAGGGACAACTATAAATGGTTAAGTGGCTCCTACAGCATTTCCTTCTGATTATTGAGTGTGTAGCCAATTATATCTTTATATAAATGTGAAATAACGTTAATACCATCAGTCTGGGTATTCAGTATGTTTGTTTTTAAAGATAACATCTTTATGCACTAGGATTGTTCCCCGGCTGTATGCACCCACATTTTTAAAAAGTATAATTGATTCTGAGAGGCCTTCAGAATGTAATTCCTCTTTTGATCACTAAATACCCCAGTGAAGACGTTTAAAGGGATATGCTATAGTTTTACTGTTCTCTTACCTCATCCTAAAGATCGCTTGGCGCACCTCACTTTGAAGGTCAGGGTTCCAGAAAGCTGTCCAATCAAGCCTAGAATGAAAGGGAGGATATAAAACAAGACCACGGAGTGGGCGAGTGGCTTTGAAAATCGATGACGACAAAACAGTGTTCACCTGTAACTGACACTGCAAAGAAAATCATCGTCCTAAGTATCTCGTGGCACCAAGGGTTCCTTCCGTTTGAGTGGCAATTCTCGCAGCTCTGTATGGCGTTTGATACAAGGCTTTAAAGGCAGCGAGGATGCCGCCCTGGCCCACCACCTCCTTGGTTACAGCATCGTCCCCAGACGTCAAGGTTACAGGTTGGATCTCAGGTCAGGGCACGAACAGGAAGCAGCCAATGAATGCAGACACAAGTGGAGCAACAAAACCGACGCTTCTCTCCCTTCCCAGCTCGCTCTCTGGAATCAGTCAGTAAAAGGACGGTGACGATGCAAAGTAAAGTGAAGGAAAGATGGGGTGTGGGGGAGGGGATGGGGACAGACTGCTTACTGCACTTCCTTCAGGGGCTGTTTAGGACCTGGTTTTACTCTTTTTCAGGCTCTACCTTCTCCTCAAGCCTTACCAGGCGAGGTCTTCGTGTTTTGACTGCAAAGGAACTGCGGTGGAGCCAGGCAAATGGGCCTGGATTGCTGAGGCGAATCCAGGCAACTCCCCCCACGGCCGGCAGACCGAAGTCCTCTGAGGGGGGGCGGGCGGGGAGTGGGGGGGCGGGGGCGTAGGCCGGTCGCCCAATCGGGAGGCTCCTGGGGGCGCGGGGGCGAGCAGTTTCCCCCGCACGAGCCCTTTAAGGTCTGCGGCGCACTTGTAGCGCGTGGCCGCTCCGGGCGACCTCGGCCAAGCGACGTGGTTGCGTGGCCATGGACGTGGGCGCCGACGGGTTCGAGCAGAGCCTCCCTCTGCTGCAGGAGCTTGTCCTGGGCGCGGACTTCGTGGGTAAGGCGCGAGGATCCGGGCCTCGCCGCGGGGGCCCTCTGGGCTGGGCGAGCCGGCGAAGGGGGCGCTGTGGGCGCGACGGGACGGAGAACCGAGGCCCCGCTGGGCCAGTCCCCAGACCCTGGGAGGCTCGAACAGAGAGATTCCTTCTAGGCCTGGGCAGCGGGATGCCAAGCAGCGGTTGCCCCTTGGCCCCGCAGCGGTCCAGGCGGAGCCGAGCCCGCGGAACTGGCCGGTCCCTGCTTTGGCTCCCTCCGTTGTCCCTTTACGAACTCACCTGGCCTGAGCGCAAAGAAGGTGAGCCCAGTAGTTCGTTTGCCACCGGCAGCGTTTACAGCAGGAAGAGCGGTGGCAGGGGGCTGCGTCTGGGGACTCGGGTCTTTTTTGCCGTCCCCGCAGGTCTGGACATAGAGTTCACGGGCCTTCGCACTAACCTGGCCGGATCCCAGCAGATCAGGTAAAGCTAAAGCTGCCCTTGAGCGAGGGAGACACCCGTGCCCCTGGGCGGCTGGCTGGCCACATCAGCGTTTTCTCTCAGCAGGCACCTGCTGGCACTGGGCGGGCAGGACACCATGTTACGTGGGGCTCTGGGCACCTGGCCTTTGCCCGCTAAACACTAGGAGTGCTCTGTTTTTCCACAGTCTTTTTGACTTGCCCTCGGAGTGGTATCTGAAAACCCGTGCGAGTGTTCAGCAGTTTACAATCTGTCAGATTGGTAAGTTGGGTCTTCAGCTGTTGGCCATGAGTTACTAAGAGAGGTAGTTTCATGCTCTTCGTGTTTCTTATTGATCACACAGCTTTCACATCTGCCAGGGAACCTGGCTATCGTTTGTGCTCTCATTTGGTTTTCAGCTGCGCCATGCCTGTCGAACCTAACACTTTGGAACAAGCAGAAATTAGTTCAGCAGCAGTATTTCCATGCCTACATAAATCAACATTAGGGAACCGGTACCATCTTTCAAGGAAAAAATGTGTATGATTTTTGTTTGTGAGGAAACTTACACAAACAAGATCATCCTACACACATGTTGTTCTGCATCTTTTTATTTTCGCCAATGGGGTTTAGAGATCTTTCTCATACCAGCACCTGCAGGTCTCTTGTTCATGTCTAACAGTTGTATTCCAAACTATGAAAGTATTTATTGACTCAGTTTCCTCATGATGCGTACTTTGGTTACCATTTTTGATAAATCAAGGTTGCACTCAGTGAATGCAGGGGTAAGTCAAATAACAAATCGATATTCCTCTCTCTCCCTCTCTCACTGAAATCAATAAATTAAAAACAAACAGAAAACAAGGTCTCCCTGACCGTCTTAGTAGGAACACTTCCCTGCACGTCCATGAGGATACGCGATTGGAGTACCCTTGGCAGCGGAAAGGCGGCGTTAAAGAGCATGTGTGCAAGTGTGGCTCTGGGGCGCCAGCCTAGCCCAGCTCCTACCAGCCGCCCACAAAGCTCCGTGACTCCGCTCACAGCGGCGACTGTGCTGTTCCCCTCGCGCACACTGGCTAGTGTCACTCTTACATTCCTTTGTCCACCTAGTAGAGGAGAAACGATGTAATTATTATATTGATTTACATTTTTAATGCAGGGTCAACACACTTTTCCTGTAAAGGGCTATGCAGTAAATATGTTTTGCAGGCCATCTGGTCTGTTACAACTTCTCAATGTCACCATCGTTAATGGGAAATCAGCCATAGATAGTACATAAATGAATGAGTGAGGCTGAAATCCAATACAACTATTTATAAAAACAAGCCTTGACCGATTTTACTGACCCATGTTTTCCTGTGAATGATGGCAAACATCTGTGTGTGTGTTTTGCTCTGTATCCTTGTCCTTTGCTATTTCCATTGTTTTACTTGATGGTAAGACCTCTTTGCAAAGTATGGGGAAATAGATATATTTCTATTGCTCTCCCCCATTAGGAAGTCTTTTTCACTTTGTATATGGTGTTTGTTTTTTTAATACAGACATTTTAAAGCAAATATATAAATCTTCGCGGTTTTGGGTGTTTCCTCTGGTTTTAGAACTATAAAAATGTTGGTTTAGTTTTACTCCCGTTTGAAGAACCATCCACAATTATATTTTTGTAATGTTAGTGTGAATAACAATTTGACAGCTCACGTTTTCCTCCTCCTCTTTTCCTTTTTCTTTTCCTTTTTAAAAAGAGGTTATCTGCTTCTGAAGCCCACACAGTGTTTCTGGAAGCAAAGCACTGTTCAAAATGTTTAGTTTTAGTACCATAGTTAACTCCTGAGAGCTCCTCCTTGGTTCTCATTTCCCCTGCTGTCCTTCTTCCAGGATTGTCTGTGTTTTCCAGTATCGAAGGAGAGTCAAACAAGTATGTACAAAGACTTCGCAAAACACACAGTTCTTCTCCACCTGCTCCCCCCAGATTCTGCTCTGGCTCTGAGCCAGTGTGGCCCTGGACACCCCGTGTGCCCCCTGCTTCTGTGCCCTTGCCCTTGCTCCTTCCCCCGAAGACTACAGTTTGTCCTTCAGGTCTCAAAGCAACACCTCTTCTGGGGGACTTTCCTGGCCCCACGCCTCACCCACTCCTTCCCCTGTGCCCGTTGTCACCTGCGTGCCCCTTCAGGATAGGCATGGGTGCCACGTTACACTGAGGGCGACGGGGCTCCTAGGCAGCGAGCACCGGGGGATGCTGGGTGGCAGCCCTGCTGGGCTCAGCACATGGGAGGGACCCTGTTCTTCCAGGGCAAGGTCTCTGCCTGTCTCCACTGACGCCTGGGGCCCGTCATGGTACTGGAAAGAGCCAGCGTTCAAATGCTTCTGAAGTGAGAGGGGGAGCCCTCTCTGAAGCCTGCTCTGAGCCAGTGTTTTAAAAACGGACTTGGCTTTTTCTCCTTATGTTTACTTTTTCCAATAGGTACGTAGCCCATTCGTGTAACTTCTTTCTCTTCCCTACAACGTTTGGGGTTTTGGACTCGGAATTCTCTTTCCAGGCTTCTAGTGTTCAGTTTTTGAATCAGTATGGCTTCGACTATAACAAGGTACGGCAGTGCCGGGGGAAGTGGGGACGCTCGAGGGGGAGCTGGCCTCGGCGGCCTCCGAGCCCCATTTCTAGCCCCTTCCTGTCCACGTGAAACCGAGAACGGCTTCTTTTCACTCTGCCCCCAAACAGAGGATGCCGCTCCAAGACTCCTTGTTCTTCTGTCTCTAGTTTCTCAAACACGGAATCCCATATATGAATGAGGAACAGGAGAAGAAAATCAAACACAACATCCTGACTGGGAACTGGAGAGTTCGCAGGTAAGGCCCATTTCCCTGGGTGGTTGGCAGGTTTCTCGGCTGCTGGGGTCTTTCCGCGTGTCCTGTGGGGAGGCGCGCTCCCTCCCCGTGAGCAGGCGCGGCTGCCCCAGCCTGGGCCCCATCAAACACGACCAAAGTGCTGGCAATTCCATCCCTGCGCCTGGAGTGGGAAGACCTCTCCCCGCATTGAGTGTGAGCTCAGTGCTTAAAAATGAAAAGCAGGAAAAGGAAAAAGAACTTCTTCTTCAACTGGTTCTGGGGGAGGCAGGACCTCCACTCCAGAGCTGGGGGAGGGTGGGTCTGGTGGACCGACTTTGAGATGGTACATTGGCCTTCGATGTGATCTTAGGGATCGTTCAAGGGAACATCACAGGTAACCTTGACCATGCCGGTCACATGCCTCAACTTGGAGAGACGTGTCACCTCACGTGCTTGATCCTGCTCTGTTTCCTAAGGGCAGAATTTCTGCCTTTTTTCCTTAGGCCCCGGTACCAGTGGTCGTGCTTGAGACCCTGCCCTCCTGCAGAGCTGGGGGCGGCGGGGCGGGGTGGCGGGCGAGCGGAAGCACCGTGCGGCAGAAGGGGCAGGCCACTGCGTCCCAGGCCGGCCCTGCCTTCAGTTGCCTGGTTTTGAACAAGTTGTTGAAGTTCTTCATGCCTCTGTTAGGAAGCAGGTTAAGTTACACAGCTTTTACCCCCGGCATGTTATGATGAGTTATGTGGTCCAGATCATTGTCTTACGTAACACTGGAGGTTTTTTTAAATCCTTGTTTGTGGTTTTCACACAGAAATGCAGTTTTTTTTGTCAGGGAAGAAACAATTTGAATTTTTAACCTTCTGTTATTTTCAAATGTTGGAGAAAAGTCTTTCCGTAGCTCAAAATAACATCATGTTCTTATGTTTCTAAGACAGGAGACGATGTACTCGCCCGAGTTCCCATCTTTTCCTCATCCCACCAGACGTTGCTCCCCCCCCCCCTCCCCGAAAGCTGCGTTAGGACGCCGGGCCGAGAGCAGCGCTGGCTGGCTGCCTGCGCCTCGTCCTCCGCGGGTCCTGGGGGAGCGGAGAGGGACGGAGCGTTCTCCTGTGAACGCATGGGGGAGGGCAGGCCAAGTGCTTGGCTTGCTTTTGCAGAACAAGACTTGGAAAATAGTCTTTTTGGGGTGTGTTTTCTTGCCAGCATCCCATGTTAAGCCCGGAGGCCTCAGAAGCTGCTCCCACGTTAATGTCATCTCAGGGCTCTGGTGGTTTTCGCCAACGTTTCCGCTTTCATGTGTCTGTTTTCAGCTCCCTGGACAAAGACCTGATCAAGGTGGTGATTGGTGAGGTGACGCGGTGGCTGACCCTGGCAGAGGAAGGCGACTGCATGACCCTCCCCGGCATCGCTGGTAGGCAGGTGGCTGCTCCCCTGGCCTGCGGGTGTCCCTCTGGTCACCATCACGTACCCTCTGCTCCCTTGGGTCCCGGGCAGTCACCCAGCCGACGTGGGGTCCAGGTGTGAGACAGAGCTCTGACCGTAGTTCAGAAGTTGAGGGCGTTTTGACCTACTCTGAACTTTAAGGTCGAGGGAGTGAGGCTCCGTTCAGGGCCGTCCTTCCGTCCCAGTCCTCGGTGTCCGGCGCTCTTGTCGTTGACTTTCTTTGATCCCTGAATTGTCCCTCCACAGAGCGATGTGGAGTCACGCCACACATGTGCTAGATCAGTGAGTGGCTCTTGGGCCTGGTCTGTGGACCCCAGGGGCCTCTGAGGCCTTTTCCAAGGGCTCCCTGAGGCTGAAAGTATGGTCAAAATATTACGCGGCCACCACTTGCCATTGTCATTGTGCCATTTGCACTGATGGTGTCAGAGCACAGGCGGGTCACCCTGTTGGCACCCGGGTACAGGTTGAGACGCAGCGTCCACATGCTAGTAGTCCATGCATCCTGTTAAAAAAAAAAAGTCCAATTTTATTTAGCAGCTTCCTTGGTAAAGAAGTAATAATTCTTTCTTTTTAAAGATTTCATTTATTTATTTTTAGAGAGAGGGGAAGGGAGTGAGAAATGGAGAGAAACATGGATGTGTGAGAGACACATTGACCGGTTGCCTCTCACAGGCCCCCAACCAGGGTCTGGGCTGCAACCCAGGCCTGGGCCCTGACCAGGAATTGAACTGGAGCCACACTGGTCAGGGCAAGAAGTAAAAACTCTTCATTTTATGAAATGTCAATCTTTGCTTATCTTTTTAAATTTACTGTGTATCAGCATGAGCATGTCAATAAGTAAGTATGCGTAAAACATCTCTGCTGTGTGTCAAAGTGCATTGGCTGTCTTGAAAGAAAGCAGTTGTGTGAGTTTTTGAGTTGAGAGCTGAATTAGCTGCCTTTTTTTTTTTTTTTTTTTTTTTTTTTTGCCCCCCATGGAACATTTTTATTTAAAGGAATTTACTGTGGTTATTTTGACTTGGGTATTTTCATTGATTTTCTTAAATGAAAAAAGTGAGCCTGGCCCTTCAAAGAGCATAACTTGCAGTACTTGCTAGTGATACAACTGCCGCCCTGGCTGGTGTGGCTCAGTGGATTGAGTGCCGGCTTGCAAACCAAAGGGTCACCAGTTTAGTTCCCAGTCAAGGTACGTGCCTGGGTTGCAGGCCCGATCCCCAGCAGGGGGCGCACGAGAGGCAATCACATGATGTTTCTTTCCCTCTTTTTCCTTCCCTTCCCTGTTCTCTAAAAAGAAATAAAATCTTTTTTAAAAGATTGGAGCTTACAATCAAAAACTGGGATTTTGGCCCTGGCCAGGTGACTCAGTTGGAGCACCCTCTCGTACACCAGAAAGGTTGCAGATTCGATCCCCCTGAGGGCACACACCTAGATTGTAGGTTTGATCCCCAGTAGGGGTGTGTATATGCTGCAACCGATCAATACTTCTCTCTCTCTCTCTCTCCTCTGCCCCCTCTTCCTCCCTGTCTAAAATAATGAAACATCCCTGAGGGAGGATTAAAAAAACAAACAAACTGGAATTTTGGGCAACTTGAGCAAGTCACCGTAAACGTGCCAGCTCCCCAGTACTGAGACCCTTCTGATGAGGTCATTGGCCACATTTACAAGCATCTCTCGTTGCTGCTCTAGGACAAAATGTGTGAGCATTGGAAGATCTGCACAACTCAGCATTGGTGTTTTCTAAATAACCGACGTGTGACGTTATCAAATCCTGGGCAAAAGTAGAATGGGTTTATTATTTTAAAGGAAAACCTCACCATCTTAAATTTAAGGTGTAGCTTTAATTTCTAACATGGTGGCTTATCCATAGCTGTAGTTTACATACAAAAAAGACCCTCTGGGGTCCTCAGTTGAAGAGTGGCCAGCCCTGGGACGCAGCTGCAGACCACTGCCCTAGACCACGCCCTAGCACAGTACAGCGGGCCGGCCAGCCCTGCCCTGCGGGCTCATGCGCCCAGGGGCCCTGAGAGCTCCTTTTCCACTGGCTCCTCCTCTCAGCTTCCATTTCCCTCGGGCCTCTCTCGAGGGGAAGGTGGGCTGCCGGCCCAGGGTCTGCGGGGCCCTGTGCGAGCCTCATGTCCCCTCGCTGTAGGCTTCCAGGCCTTCGAGGTCCAGCTGGTGCTGAGGCAGGCCCTCCCTGGCATCTGGACGGCGCGGACAGACTGCGGGGTGAGTCCTCCCAGCCGCTGCCCCCCACTTCCTGCGGCCCGTCTGGCCCCTGGGAAACGTGCCTCTGCCCCCCCCCTTCCCTTTCAAGGTGAAGAACCACTTCTTTGGCATCACTGCCAGGATCCGGGGGACTTGTCCGTCCTTTTCATTTCAGGTGACAGTGAAGAAAGTGAGTAAACGGCATCGCTGGTACCTTGGGAACACCTCCTGGGATCCAAAGAGCCGCTGGAGGGAGGAGCTGCTTCTCTCCGCAAGGGGATTTTCCGTGTTTTTCCAGATGCTGGTAAAAGCCCAGAAGGTAGGAAAAACCTCTCTTCTCTTGGTCTGTCACAGTCTTCTGAGTTCCTGGCTGTCACACGGGTGGGATGTCCAACAATAAGATAAGGTTCCTTGAGAGAATGATTCCCGCTTGTTGATAACCAGCTTTATGGATCTACCTTGCTTCCCCCAAATCATGACAGATTAATTTGAGGAAAGACTGTCCATGTTAGTTAATTACTATTCCTTTGCTCCTTTCTGGCACGTAGGCATTTCGGTACTAACTGACCTAAAACACCTTGGGGAACCGAGTGTTTACCTGCTTCACCGTTTAGATTTCCAGTGTGGTCCTGACCTCACGTCCCTTCTACTCAATGCTTTTCTTCTTTTCTGGGATTTAAGCAACTGGGCTACTTTTCACAAGGGTGCAAGGTGGGTAGGGGTGGAATTACCACATGGTCACAGCCTCAGTGGGTGCTAAAGCCACACCCTTTGCCAGAGACTGTTAGGCTGTGGTGCCTGTTCTTACTGTGCTTCAAGTTTCATTTCCCTCGCCTGCCGGTTCCCTCCAAGCAGCCCTTGGTGGGGCACAACATGATGATGGACCTGCTGCATCTCCACGAGAAGTTCTTCCGGCCCCTCCCAGGTAGGGGCGTGCCCAGCATTCCCCCGCCTTTGATCTTGTTTGCCACCTGGAAAGGGATCCGGCTCCGGGGGAGCCCCACGTCTCTGCGGAGCTCAGGCCCTCAGGGCCGTGTGCTGTCCCCCTGCGTGGAGGACCAGGGGGCTTTTTCGGGGCGGGGCACAGGGAGCCTACATTTCCATGGATACTCCTGCCCCACAACAGAGGGCGTTCAGTGTCACTGTAGAAAACTTGGCAAAGTCGGAAATGGTGACAAGCCCCCCGTGATCCCAGCTCTAGTCCTGACACGTTGCCTTTCCTCTGTTGTGAGTGCTTATGTATCTGATCACACTGTGTATTTGATTTTATGTTTGGCTTTTTTCCCCCCACGTACCAAAAGCATTTGCTGCGTCATTAACACAATAACTGATTTTAATGGCCGGGTGGCCCTTTCGTACGGGGGTGCCATCCCTTCCCGTGGCAGCAGTGCTGTGCTGTGCTTCGACGCCTGGGCACGAGTCTCCCCGCACCCCCCGCCCTTCATTCTGTGTGTTCTCGGGCTCCGCGCCGATGCAGTGGGGTGTTCGTAGCACCAGTGTCATAGGGTTGTTGGGGATTAACCGAACAAATAAAATATACACAGGACACTCATCTAGATGGACAGGGGTGAGGAGATTCTGTCTCGGAGACCCCTCCCCCAGAAATGAGCACCTCAGTTTGAGCAGATGTAGAGAATTGGAGAGTGAGGGGTAAAGTTCATAATAATGAGCATTTGCTCGAAAACGAAGCACAGCCAAGCAAAAGTGCTGGGAGAACAAAAGCTGCAAGGGAGGGGGTCACTGGAGAATCGACCCCGCAGAGCCCCTCATGCCTGGCGTGCAGGGGGCCGTAGTGACTTGGCTGGCTGGGGACGCGAGGTGGCTAGTCTTTTACTCGGGGGGCCATCACTAGGTAAATGCCTGAAGCCGGGAAGACCACCTGTCAGTGCCAGTTTGTTGTCTGGAGATGTGGGAACAACACCAAAAGGAGAGGAAGAGACGGCAGCTGCCTTCGGGGAGCAGGAGATGGGTGGGCAGAGAGAAGAGTGCACATAGCGGGTGTTTTGGTCGGTCTGTTCTTGCAGTAAGCCTCTTTCAACTGCATGCAGGTGTAATTTTGATAAACACCCATTAATAGCTGAACGTTGTTATGGGGCACTTGACTCTCACTATAAGGATTTTTAGTTGGTCTTTCCTCTGGACAGTCACTTACAAATGATGATTTCATGTCTAATTTCCAGTAACACCTCTTTCTTCTCCTTCCATTGGCTAGAAACTTCGCAAACTACATTAAGCAATGTCGGCAATAATAGTATCCTGAATTTGCTGGGAAACCTCTGGCTTTTACTATTACAAATGGTAGTGGCAGGTTGGATTGAGATTTAGAAAGCCTCACTGATTAGGAATAAGGGTGTTTTCGGTTCCTATTTTGTTGTATTTATTCACCAGTTGGTGACAGACTAGGTGGGAGAACGTTCCTTCTCATTTTACTGACAAACTCACTTCTGACTTGCTCGGCCTTTCCGTGCAGAAAGCTACCATCAGTTTAAGCTGAACATCCACAGCCTGTTTCCTGTCCTCATTGACACTAAGAATGTGACGAAGGACCTATGGAAGGTGAGGGGCGACATGGCTTTGGGTTGCGGGAGGCTTTGTCCCTCCCAGTAGCACAGTTTTCTCCTCTTCAAAAGTGTCCCTTGAATCCTTTCCTCGCGTTTACAATCAGTATAAGTTTCCTTTGCTATTCTAGCACCGCTGGGCCATTTTAGCTTATGTATAGTTTTTTTCCTTCCCTCATTCAGGCTCGTGTGCGCATTTAGGTGGGACACAGAACCTGTTCTGGAGCTTGATACATACCTAGTATTTGCAACATGCTTACAGAGCATCAAGATTTGGGGGGAGGCACTCCCCTCTTGAAAAATCTTGAAAACAAACATCTCTACCAGGAGCCTGGGTCTTCAACCCAGACAGCCCAGCCCATTGAAGTCACCTGGGAAACTAAATACTGGCACCTGGGGCCTATCCTCAGCTTTTCTGGTTTAGAGAGGCCGGGGGTGGGATTTCTAAAGCTCCCAGGTGACTTCTGTTGTGCTTCCGGAGGAAGCCCCCAGCTGACTTAAATGCTGCCTAGAAGTTAGACTGAGGAACAAAGGAAGAGGAACTGAATCAGTGTTTTCAAGCCTTAAGCCAGTCATTTAAAGTTAATGACTGGGGAGGGAGCCGAGACCCTCGGCTGGGGGACTGGGCGGGCCTCTGCCTGGGGCCGCACCTCCCGTCCTGCACAGGTTTCTAGCACTGACACATTCTACGCTGCTCTCGTCTCCACAGAACTGAGTCTTGGGGACAAAGGGGTGGGGTATGGAGCTGATCTCAGGGAACCCAGGGTGTCCTTTCCATGCAAGATGAGAGGGACTCCAGGATATGGGGACCTGGCCTTGCTAAAGGCCCTCTGGTCCTTAGAATGCCTGGTGTCCTACATATGTGTCCTTGGCCTGGGTCTGATACCTCGGAGTCCTGTGTTTCCAGAACCCCCGAACCCTTGTCTTTGAAGGAAGAGAGAACAAGCTGTGTTTGTGGCAGCTTTTTCTAGCTTAGGTATTGGGTGCCTTATAGGGACCCAATCCAAGGACACTAGGTGCCCTGGCATCCTAAATAAGGAATAAGGATTGATACCTTTAAAGAGAAGGAAGAGGTGGTGGGAGTTAACATTTTTCAGGCCATTTTAATAGCCATTTGATAATACCTGAAGCAGATGGTAAACGTGAGCACACATCTCTTATTCTCCCTAATTTGTTGTCCATAATTACAGGAACTGAATTTTCCAAGGGTTTCAAATCTTTCCGAAGTTTACGAAGTCCTGAACAGGTAAGGAAGCGATCTTTTGGAGCCGCTTCTAGGGCCGGCGTCCTCAGCCAGGCGACTTTGCTCCCCAGGACCTATCGGCAATGTCGCGACATTTACAGCAACTGGGGCTGCTACGGCTCTGCAGCGAGTGGGGGCCAGGACGGCCCGCTACACAGTTCTCCGGCCCAGAGTGGGATGGGTGCTGAGGCTGCGGAACTGTCCGAGGGGGCAGGGGCCTGCTAAAACCCCTGCAGCTGTGGAACGGCAGCGTCTTTTCTGTTGGCCGAGCTTTTGTTTTTCTTTTGACCTGTTTGATTCCTGGAGTGATGAGCTCTGTGAGACACAGTGCAACTTTGTTTCATTTTGTGTTTTGAACCCGGATGCTTCTCTCAGGGCTAACGCAGGGCTCGGCATGGTAGGCACACATTAAACGGTGCACGAATGGATGATGCCCATAGCTAGCCGAGTCCCAGGCCTCGGCAGCGTGCGCGGTTCATGCCTCAGGTGTCGGATGCCGGTGTGATCATCTGTCCTTCAGGCCACTGGACAGCCAGCCCTCGGGGCAGAGCCGGCCTTGCTTGAGTTCCCGTTGGTGCCCGGGCTTGGGTAAAGTGCCTGTTAGATGCTCAGGACCACCGGTTCAGCCTGGTGCCCGCTGTTCTCTTTCACCTGTCCTGTTGCCTAGTTACCACGGCCTTATTTGCCCAGGCCTAGGTCCTTGCCTTTTTTTTTTCTCCTTTAAATATGCCCCAGTATTGAGAACATTTTTATTATTTATATAAGACGGAGAGGGGAGAACCAGAGGGACTTTATTTTTTTAAGGATTTTATTTATCTTTAGAGAGAAGGGAAGGAAAAAGAGAGGGAGAGAAACATCAGTGTGTGGTTGCCTCTCATGCACCCCCACCTGGGGACCAGGCCTGCAACCCAGGCATGTGCCCTGACTGGGAATGGAACCAGTGACCCTGTGGTTCGCAGGCTGCACTCAATCCGCGGAGCCACACCAGCCAGGGCCAGGGGGACTTTTTAGTGAATAGTCTTTATCCTGTTTCTCATCTCGAACAGCGACTGGAATCCCACCAGGAATTCCGGGCCAGTGATCACCCACGCAAGCGAGTGTGAGAGATACGGTGGGTTCCCGTGAGCGTGTGCCCCGCGGGGCTAGGGCTGAGGCCGGGTCTCCCTGGGCGGCAGGGGCTGCGCAGGGCGCTGGGGTTGCCCCCGCACCCCCTCGCTGGGCAGGGGCCCTCCTGGAGGCATGGCGGCCCTGGGCGGGGGCCTGGGGGGGGCGCGTCCACGCCCCTTTGCCATGGTGGGTGGGCTGCGGGGAGGCTCTCAGCTCTCTGCTTCCCCCTCCCGGGGGTGCTCGTGTGCGGGGGGCGGGGACCGAGGCGAGGACGGCTGTGGGTGGGAGGAGGCGCTCACGTCTCTGGAGGAAGGACGGCTGCCAGCTGCGTGTGCCCAGCCGATGCGGGGGTGGGCCGGGGCGGGGCTGCTGGGGTGGGGGGCGTTCTGACCCTTGTCTGACGCTCTCTCCTGCCCTGGAACAATGCCTCAGCGGAGACAAAGTACCCCCACGAGGCAGCCTACGACGCCTTCCTCTGCGGCTCAGGTGAGGGTCTCTGTCCTCTCCCAGGAGGCTCGCGTTAACGTATTTGTGATGATCCTGCCGCCCTGCTTACTTCCGGGGAACGCGCGCCTCGTGGAAGTGACGCGTGCCTTTGCCTGGTTCCCTAAGGTGGCTGGGGTCCAGCTGTGACATCTGTCACACTCCCGGCTTCTCTCCCCAGTTCTTCTGAAAGTGGCGCACTTGCTGCTGTGGAGAGTGCACAGGTGAGTGCTCCTGCCCCGTCACGTGACACACCGTCACCGTCACCATCTGCCAAGACCCGGGCTCCCTTGGCTGTCCCAGAGAAGGGAGGACGCAGAATGGCACTGTGTGCAGAGTCCCTGGCCCGGTAGCAGCTTCCTCTCCAGGGTGGCCTTGCCCAACCTCCCCCCTGACCCGCCCCTGGTCTTGGGTTGGGCCGTGCAGTCACCTTGCTTCAGTGCTTCCCAGCGTGCTGTGCTGGCTCGTCTGTCACCACGAGCCTCATAACCGTGTTAATCAGAAGGTGACAGGAGGACCACGTGTTCAGGTCGGTAAAGGATGCCTCAGGGTCCACACAGGCAGGCAGGGGAAGGGCTGTGACTTGGCGTCAGGCCGACTGTGTGTGTTTGGGGCGGGGGCGTTGCGGGATTCTGAAAGCCCTGGGTTGGAATCAGATGCATTTCCCCAGGACAGCGTTGTCCTGGACATCTGTCTGTGGCTCTGGGCTCAGAGGCACCAGCCCTGTCCCTTGGTGACACACTTCTTGGTGAGTGGGACCCAGCAGGTCAGGCAAGGGACCTAATCCAAGTCTTAACGTGGTCTTTGTGGCTGACTTGGGAACAATTTTGGACTGTCATTTGTGAAATGGGGTTTGCCCTACGTGTGTCCATCAGAGCAGCCGGCATTTACGCACGGAATTAGTCTACAATAGATTGATGTGAGGTGTATAACATAAATGGGAAGTGTACCGCCTCATCTCCCTTTTTCCTGGGCTTTGGTGGCATCTGAGTGCCCTCGGGAAGATTCGTGTACCAAACGGGGAAGGCGGCCAATGGCAGCGGAGTCCCTGAGCTGCACAGCCTGTGCGCCTCTCCCCCTCCCGGCCGCAGCCCTCCTGGGTTTGGGGACGTTCCGCAGTGGCCAGGCCGCCTGGCCCCACAGCCCGCGCCTTGTCACATCCTGTGCTCCGGGGCGCGGGGCAGAACAAGGTGGTGGGCAGAGAGACGGTTCTTCGGAGTCCAGGGCGATGCCATGTTGGGAGGTGATAAAGTAGCCTGTCCCCTGAGCGGTGGCCCCTCACCGCTTCTCTGAGCCCAGTGCGTCTGTTTGTCAGCAGAGGGGTCATCACCAAACTGTCACCGACAGATGGTGGCCACCCGGAAGTGCCGCTCTGGTGTGGCCGTGAGGGGCAGCGGGGGAAGCGCGCTGGCCTGCGCCGCAGGAGCCGTGGGAAGGGAGGAGAGTGGTCTGAGGCAGCCGCCGCCCCATTTGTCCCCGGAGCCGCGGCCTCGGCCGAGGGCGGGGGTGTGACGCCTGTGTCGTCCACGTAGTGCTGGCCCCATGCCTGAGCCCTCCTTCGCCCTGTACCTCAACGTGCTCGCTCCCTACGTGAACCAGGTGAATCTGATCCGCGCTGGGGTCCCGAAGATCGTGAGTAACCTTCGTGCCGCTGCTTTCCCTACTCAGAGGCTGTGCTGGGGAGCAGCCTCGTGCTCGGGGACTCCTTAGGGGGCTCTGAGAAGAACCAGAATCTACTCGTTCTTTTTCCTCATCTTCCTGCCAAAACCAGCGTGGACCCACCCCTTCTTCCCTCCTTCCCTCGCCCTGCCCCACCCCCAGGCGGAGGCTCTCCTGCCTTTTCTCTCAGGATTTTGTCAGCAGGAATGGTGGGTATCTTCTTCTGTCCTTCTCCTTGTCTTCCAGAATTTCTCTGGTCCGGATTTTCCCAGTGTCCGACCCCCCATCCTCATCCTCAGTGCCAGCAGGTGGCCCGGGGTGAGCGAGGAGCAAGTCTACCGCGAGTTCCAGAATCTCTGCAAGTTTGACGTCCGGCGACTCACGCGGAACCAGTTCCTGCTCTTGACCAACAAGTTCAAGGAGTAGGTGCCCCGGGTCTATGCTGTCCCGTCCCCTCCCAGCCGCCCCGTCTCCTGGCCCGCAGCCCCTCAGAGGGAGCCGCCTCGGAGCGGCGGGTCTGCCCCACGCGCGCCCAACCTGCGCGCTCTCCCTCGGCAGTGCCCGCAGCGTCCTGAAGGAGTACAGGAGCCACCCGACCCTGCGGGTCTCCCTCTATCGGTACTGGAGGCACTCGCCGGACATCAGCTGCCTGTTGCAGTAAGTGCCTGTCCCGTGTCCCGCTCTGGGCTGAGTGGGGGCCGCTCCCTCACTGCCGTGCCTTATGAGGGAATCATTGGCGAGCGTGGCGCACCGAACGGCATCCAGTAACGTTTACTGAGCGCCTGCTGTATGGGGCACTGTCGTAGGCTCTAGGGCCTCGTCCGTGACTGAAAAACTGCCATTGTCACGGAGCTCACAGTGCAGTGGGAGGTGACCTCGTGCCAATGACGGAACCGCGTGACCCAGTAGATGACAGGCACTTACTAAACACGAGAGCAGTTCAGGAGCTCGGGTGGGGGCGTGGGGGGTGGAGGGGGTGAGGGCGGAGGTTGCTGCTGAAGGAGGAGGTGGGAGGCCCTGTGTCCAGGCCAAGGGCGTGACAGGGTGGAGGCCCTCGGTGGGCGCGCCATGTGTGCCAGGGGCCGCGAGGAGGCCGCAGCGACAGGCGTGAACTGGTAAGGAGGCGAGGCGAGAGGCGTCCGTGGGTCCTGAGCACGTGGAGGGCCAGGGGCGGGCTGAGGGGGAAGCCGCAGCCCTCGGCGGCTTTTAGCTGAGGGGTGGCACGTGGCTCCGTGTTGAGACAGACTGTACAGAGGACACAGGGCCGGGGACGAAGTTGGAAGCCGAATCACCCGGTCACGGTTTGGCTGTGGCTTGGACTGGCTGGTGGCCAAGGTGGGGGAAGGGCAGTGAAGGAGGGATGACTGGCAGAGCGGAGCAGAGCCAGGCTGGAACCGCGGGCTTTTGGCCGGAGCGCCTAGAAAGACGGGGCGGCCGTTGAGGTGCTTTGTGAGGGCCCGGCTGGCTGGCGCGGAGCCGAACCTACAGAAACAAGGCGGCTGAAGAGAAGCGCGTGGCTCCTCGGCAGGCCTTTTCCCTGTGCCGTCCTCTGGTGGCCGTCACTGGGGAAAGTGACTAGTCAGTGTCCCAGAGCCGTCCTGACCTTGAGAGGCAGAAGTTCACTGCTGGCACTGGGACGGCCGTGGGAGGCAAGATGACATTCGTGTGAACCAAGTCGGGAGGAAAGGGGCGAGCCCTTGCGTCGGAGCTTTCAAACCTCCGGGCACGGGTGGCGCGGATGACGCCGGCCCCTGTGTCTGCGGTTCTCTTGCAGAGTCTGTGGCATAGTTACCACCTGGGCCCTGGTCGCCTTTCTCCTGGGAAGACCCAGCCCCTGACGCTGCGAGGCCACCTGCCGTTCTGTCTCCACGCCGCTCTGGGGCGGCCAGTCGGGGTTTTGTTCGTGTAAATCGTATTCCCCTTGCAAAAGGATCTGCCTGGTCCTTATGAGGAATTTTGTCACATTTTAAATGAGAAATTCTGTAACTGTTACCAGTGAGAAAGCAAGCCTTGGGCTGCTCTCGCTCCCGGGGGCACGCCTGCGTCCTCCCCGGCCCCTCTTCCTACCCCAGGCGGGTTGCCTTTGCCCCTCCCCCCACCCAAGCTCCAAGGGCCCCCTTCTTTTGCCTCTGTACTTTGTTTCCTGTGCCCATTTCTTCTACAGCTCACTTCCCCCTCTGTGACTTTCTGAATAAACTTTCTCCTATTAAAAAAAGAAATCCTTGGCCATGGTAGCTTTGTGACCCAAACTTTTCTGTCTGTCAGGGGTTGGGGAGAAGTCACCACCTCTGGGAACTTGGTGTCCCAGAGCGTCTTATGGACAGACGTGGGTGTAGGAGCCGGATGCCGAAGGAGGGAAAGGCCGTGCCCTTTCCGGGGAGAAGTCAATGGCCAGCAGGCCGGTAAAGAGGGTGAAGCTAAGTGTCTATGCGTATGGATTCTGCACTGTAAAATGCTAATATTGAGAAACAAAATTAGAGTTGAGGTATAATCAAATAGTAGCTTTCCATGGTATAAGATCTTAATTTCATGTATGTAATTGAGTATAAGTGTAAATCACCTTAACTGTCCTGTGATTAAGAAGGGAAAAGCGAACGACGTCAACAGACGGGCGGGCGATCCTGGCCACCACGCCCCTTCAGGGCTTCCCTGGCTGCCCTCCCCACTGCGCCGGGCAGCGGAGCCGCCATGGGGACAGGGCTGATGTGCCTGAGGTTGGGGCAGAAGGGAGTCCCAGGGTAACTGGGCAGGGGAGGGCAGGGGGCCTCCGGGACCAAGGGGCACGTTGGCCTACGGGCCTGGAGGCCCCTCCTCCCACTCCTGGCAGAGGCAAGGGCGGTGCTCCTTTGGGGTTGCCAGTCTCTCATTTTAAGCCAGATGCTCTGCTTTCCTGTTTTCCTGCCTGGGAAGTGCATTGACGAAATGCGCTCTAGGGAAGAGACTTACGTTGTGTGCGTGAAAATTTCAACCCGAGTTTAACATTCTGTGGGTCACCTGGCAGCCTCGAGGCTCATTCCGCACTTTTCAGCTCTGAGGACACTGCAGGGACCCACTCCAGGGCCATGGCCAGAAGCAGGCTGGGCCCTCCTGGCACTTGGCTGACCCGCCTCCGTCGTTCTCCTCCCCAAGAGCCAGGCCCGCAGGCCTGGCTGTACCGAGCCCTGGGGGTCTCCCCTGGGCGCTCCCAAAACAAGATGACACGGGACAGGGATGGAAGTTGGTCTTTGGTGCCGAGAGCTTTCTTGGCCTCGTGACCAGTCACGACCACATCAGCCTACTTGCCGTTTTGTCAGGTCTCTGAAGCGACGTAGAACAGGCCCGCCTCTCAGTTCCCCCGGACGGAGAGAGGGACGTTGTAATTGGATGTCATCGCTGTCCTTCATCTTGGGGCCTAAAAGGAGACAGGTCACCTCCCCAGAGAAGAACCGTGGCCGCCGTGGTCCGCCCTGGTGAGGCGGGCTGCGTGCCAGCGTCTGCTTGGAACCGTGGGGCAGTTCAAGGGGAAGTGTGGACGCGACGGCAGAGGAGGCAGTGGGAGTGAGGTCTGGATGCCGAGAGGACACGGATCGACTTTGTCCGAGAGCCTTTCAAGCCCTGGCTGGCGTGGCTCAGCTGGCTGGAGCGTCATCCGTAAACAGAAAGGTCATGGGTTCGATTCCTGGTCAGGGCACACGCCTGGGTTGTGGGTTTGATCCCTAGGTCGGGGCACGCATGAGATGCAACCGATCGATGGTTCCCTCCCTCCCCTTCTCTCTAAAATCAATAAGCATGTTCTCAGATGAGGAATTAAAAAAAAAAAACACAAAATCACTTTGAGCGCTGCCTCCCAGAAATTGAGTTTCTCACTCACTGGCTCTCGCAAGCAGCCTAGCAAACTAAACTGGGGGTCTGCCAAGGTAAAGTAATCTTCCCTGGGTTTTTTTTTTTTTTTGAGGGGGGAAGTTCCCCTAAAATAACAATTCAAGAGAGAAAAATGCAACCTCCTACGGACGCAGGGAAACAATAGAATAAAAATAATCTTCATCATGATTTTCATTGTGTGAAAACCTAAATCACCACTTGATGGCACCAAAAAATAGGAAAGGCTAAGCCGCTCCTGCCCGCAGCGCAGTGTGAGGGGTGGCTGCCCATTTGTTCTCGGGAGAGTTTGTTGCCCTGACTCCCTTCACTGCCTGGGACACACTCATTGCCCAGCCTGTGGCTGGAGTTTAAAAAATGATGCCTGAGACATGAAGAGGCTTCCTGGGGACTTGGGGACTGCGGCCTGGAGGGCCCATCTTAGGACAGACTGTGGACGATGAGGGGCAGATGCTGGCCATGAAGTCCCTATGGGAGCTGGGCATGGGACCGGGGGAGGAGGGGGACACGACACCACACTCAAACCCCAGGGGCAGATAGCCCAGGGCTGAGAACCTGCAGGGGAGGAGGCCCCTATCTGCTGCTTGCCGGGGACCCTGGGTGGGGGTGTCAGGGCACGTCTGTCCTGCGTGGACCAGGGTGTGGCCATGGTGGGGCAGGCTGCTGGGGTGGGGTGGCGCCTGGGGTGGCCTCCTGCTTCCCTGTGCAGGGCAGAGAACCAGCACTTCGGCTACTGCTGGGACGCACCTCCACGGGGGCCCCCGAGGCCCCGCCTCCCAGGCGCCGCCCGCAGGGAGGCTGAGGCAGAGGGGACCCTGCCCCGGCCAGCTTGGGCTCCAAGACGTCCTATGGGCCTTGCTGACCCCACCCTTGTCTGCAGGGAGGCTGGGACACATCACCCAGCCACCCAGCCCGCCCCTTCATGCAGGGCCAGACTCGCTCTGAGGTCTGGCAGCATCCCCGCCCCCGTCCCCGTCCCCCCTACAGTCTGCTGCTGGCACCCACTTTTGCACAGGCGGTTCCGCGACACCAGCCTGGCCCAGAAATCCTACCTCTTCAGTTCCCTCCTGGAGGCCAACTCACCAACACCAACACCCACCCCTGCCCCCGCAGCTAAGGCCATGATGTCACCATAAGCCAGACACAGAAGGACAAATACTGCGTGATCCCACCTCCGCAAGGCACACAGAGTAGTGGACTCAGACAGAAAGCAGACTCGAGGGTCGCTGGGCTGGGGCAGGGGTGGGGAGGTGGGGAGTTAGCGTGCAAAGGGGTGGAGTGTCAGTTTGGGCTGGTGGCGAGGTTCTGGAGACCACGGCGGTGACGCTGCACAGTTCTGTGGTTGTACTTAATGCGGGAGGCCGTGCACTTAAACAGTGGATACAACGATAGGTTTTATGTATGTTTTATCACAAAAACACAAGCAACCAAACTGTTCAATAGAACATGTCCTATCCTTTCACCGTGACAAATCTGTACCTTTGTATCAACTGGAAAAGCAGGTTTAAGTTTAGAATCCTTGATTCCTCAGTGGTCCAGGCTGGGAAGTAGCCCCATGAGGAGGGCGGCCTCTGGCCTCTGTCCAGGCCTCTTGTCCTGCGTTTGCCCCATCCCTCCCCACGAGGGGCCTCACACCCACGAGGCTGCCCCTGAGTCCATCTGAGTTCTTTGCACACCCTCTGGCCAGCCCTCGGCCCGGGCGTATCTATGGGCGATGCAGCCACCCCCAGGCGCCAGGCCCGGGGACAAGGTGTGCGCAGGCCCGGGGAGCTGGCTCGGTGCTGTTCGGCCGAGAACCAGGGCCCTGGGCCCCAAGGGCATGACCTCCAGGGTCAGGGCCACGGGCTGCCAGCGGCTCAGGGGCTGGGAGCCATGGACTCGGGTGGGTGGGACACGAAGGAGGTGGGCTCCTGGGGGCCATTAAAGTGTGGGCTCCATTTGGGACCCCTGCGACTGTGATAAGGGCTGGGATTGGGCCGGTGTCTATGTCCCTGCCGTTGAGCCCGCTCTGACGCTTGATGGTCCTGTGAAGGGTTGATGTCATTGACCCCTGGTGTGGCGCTTTGGCTCTCCTTTGGGCCACCGGGAAGCCGGGTCCCTTCCCACCAGGGGGTGGAGGACTCCCCACCTTAGGAGAGACGCACTCTCCCAGCCTCCTTCCTGGAGACGCCTGACGTCAGCTCAGCCGGCCAGGTTTGTCTGGTCCTGACTCGGCCTCAGCTGCTGGTGACAGAGAACAGGGACCCCAGGAGTCCTCTCTGGTGGGGGTTAGGGAGACCGAGCGCCCAGAGCTAAGGATGCCCAGGGCGCACTGGGCGCTGGGTGCCGCTGGCCGTGAGGGAGCAACGCGGTCCCCTGCGGCCCAGGGCTTGGCGGAGTCAGCAGCAGCGTCTTGATGGAGCTAATTCTGCCGCACGGTTTTAGCATCATGCCGTTGTTTTTGGCCGCCTGACTTAGCCTGGATTTTTCTGTCCTCCTGGAGAGTCTGTGAGCTAATGTCCTTTTAATAAATCCCCTTTCTACTCAAATTAGCCAGAGTCTGTTTCTGCTGTTTGCAGTTAAACCCTAACTGATTCAGGTCCCTTGGCAAATAGACCCTCGGGCTGGGACTACCTGGAAGGTGCCTTCTGGCTCGTTCTAGGTGAAATACATTAGATTATTGATTCCCAGGGGTTCGTGCAAACTGAGTGGCCAGAAGGGCGTGTGGGCATTGACCTACGAACATGTCCCCCAGTGCCACACTCTTACAAGTGATATCTTCCAGCAAGCCCCGTGTCCATCAATGGATGGACAAGCGTTACATACACATTCCCCTCGATACCGTGGAATATTGCCCGGCCTTCAGAAGGACTGCGACTCTGACACAGGCTACGCCCCGATGACCCTTGCAGACATTATGCTGAGTGAAATTAGCCAGACACGACGGCGCAAACGCCGTGTGATTCCACTGGCAGGAGGTCCCTAGAGGGGTCAACGCCCAGAGAGACTGA